TCTCACTTTCTTTTTTTTTTTTTTTCCTTTTTTCTTTTGTCTTTTTCTTCTTGTCTTTTTCTCCACTTGGTGGTGTATCGTTTGCTAATTATATATTTTAATCAAAAAATTATTATAAGTTATTATATCATTTTTTTTATTTTTTTATAAAAAAATTAAAAAATTATTAAAATAGCATGTTACTAACGAGACCTCAGAGGCCACTCACTAGTTTAATTTCTTTAACCCCCTTGACGGGGCTGTTTGGCTTTTCACAAACACCAAAACTTCTGGAAGTAATCAGACTTCCAAGTCCGAACCAGCCTAGCATGACTGTTTGATTGAATTTTCAAAATTTATTTTTAAAATATTTTTAAAAAAATATAAATAAGTTTAACAAAAGTAAATACTAAAAAAATTAAATAAAAAGAAAGAGAAAATCATATAAAAATGATATTTTTTATTTTAAAATCAAATTCTAAAAACTAAATTAAACATTGTGTTTGGAAAATTCTATCTATCCATCAACCTCCGCAACATAAAAACCTTTTTATTTTCCTAACATTTATCTAGCAATATTAATCTTCAAGCCAATGCCAACATTAAACTCCAATAAGGCCGTCTTTTGTTGTGTTTTAATTTTTCTTGTTTTTGGAAACACAAATAAAACATTAATTCAAAAAATCTCATCGCTTTTATCAGGATTGTACAAAATCCATTTACTCGTGCAAACCACCCAACCTGCTCTAACAACCGTTGTTTGAGAATATTGATGAGTTGAATTATATATGGTTTAATATATTCAATCCGCCTAAATAATCAATTCGCCAATAATTACGTATAAATTAAATATCTCAATTTTAAACAGATCTTCTCAAAGGGAGGGAGGTGAGTGTAATGTTTCATTTTAAAAATGGTGATTAAACTATACATTAACTAATAAATTATGAGACCATCGCCACCTAACCATCTAATCGAAAATCATAAAAAGGTCTAAACATCATTTTGTACTGACCTACTTGATTACTAAAAGAAAAATGGGGAGGGAATTTAATTTCAAATCAGTCCACTGTCGCAGGGTCAAATTGTCCCCTCATCATACATTCTGCGCACAATTAAGATTTGTTTTTACGAAAAAAATTGTATGAAAAGTAAAAAAAATAATTTGACACAAATAAGTCAAAAAAATTAATAAATTAATTTTTTTTACACTTGCAAAAGAAGCCTTAATTATTTTTTTATTACATATTTGTTTTTTTTTTTATATATCGATTTGTTCATGTTTTCATGTTTCATGCAAAAGATTCTTGAGTTCTCTAAAAATATATATGGGATCTTTTGGGAAGTGAGTTATAATTCACTTCTCAGATTATAACCTACTTCCTTCTCTCACAAAAAGTTAATTATAATTCGTTTTTAATTAAAAAGTTGATTATAACCATCTTCCCAAAATATATAAACAAAATTTAGGATAAAAATGAAATTAATAGAAAAAGATATGATTATTGCCCGAATGGTATGATAAGATTATTTTACTTTAAGTGGAACATGAAATTATTAATTGCTTTTATGTTATTAACTTTTCAACATTCTATTTGTTTTCACAGAATTTTTTTTTTTTTTGTATTTTTTGGTGTTTAATATGATGAAAAATAAAAATTAACAGGAAAAAAATTATTTCAGCGGAAATTTTTTTTTATGTGATTAACATTTTATGAATTAAAGTCTTGTAACCGCCACCACTTCGCCGCCATCACCATTAGTACAACTACTATCACATTAGTTTGAAACTCATAGCTAAACCGATGAGTTCTATTTCTATTTTTAAAAAAATATTTTCTATAAGAAAATCATTGAAAAATATTTTCAACACAAACGGAAAATATAACAAAATAGAGCTAGGCCAACTTGGAACTCTAGATAAATTTTGCTTAATTATTATTGGGGGTTCGTATTTATTTTGTTGAATATTTATTATCGACCAAATAATGTTCTACCTCGAGAGTTTTTTACTTTGTTTCCATGGGATGTCTGGATAGTTAGTTCTTTGAATATATTGGGTTGGATTCGATTTAAGCTTACACTAAGGTTGTGTTTGGTTTTATAAATTTAGTGAGAGATTTGGAAAAAAGAAAGGAAAAGACGAGTAAAATGTAAATAAAATATAGTTATATTTCATATATTTTTTTATTTTCTCTTTCTAAATTCCTATTCAAATCCATGAACCAAACATAGTCTAGAATTTTGTGTTCGACTTGGGAGGGGTTTTGTACTAATATTGAGACGCTTTGGGTCATCTCAGGCCCATCTCGGCCCAATATGAAGCTTAGCCTAATCAAGTTCAAACCAGGCCCTAAGGCTATGATAGATTATGATAAACTTACGTGTAGGTCTTAATATGTAAATTCATTGTCTAATTGATCCTATGATAATTAATGACGTTTTTATCTAACACTAATAAAAAAACGTCACTAATTGTTAATTTTCAACAACAGTTTGAAAATTTTGTCACAAAAAATATCACTAATTATAAGTTTTAGCAATAATTCAAAAAAAATCGTCACAAAAAAAATTATTAATTTTCAACTTTTAGCGGCAGTTTAAAAAATTCATCATAAAAAAATATCACTAATTGTAAGTTTGAGCGTCAATTTATAAAAACTATGACAAAAACAAATCACTTATTGTCAATTTTTTACAACATATGCAAAAAAACATTACAAAAAATTATTTTTAGCAACGATTTTACTAAAATTTATTTTTTAAATTTTATAAGAATTAAATCTAACTATTAAGAGTTTACCTTAAATTTGATTTTATAAGGCCAGTATTTCTCTTACAACAGCTATGAAAAAACCCATAGTAGACAAGACCATTACTAATTATATAGATATTTTATAATCAGACCCAGCCGTGCCTAGAGATGACTCATCAACTAAGGCCTAGTTTGGGAAAACTAAATAAGTGCACTTTTTGACTTTTTATAAAATATAAGTTGGGTTTAGGTTGGGTTTGAAGTGATGTGTTAGAGAGGTGATGTGACTTAAATAAGATGATGTGACTTAAATAGGATAGTGACTTTTTGACTTTTTGTCTTTTTTCAATCATGCCAAACTTGGCCTTAGTCAAGGCCTACCATCTCAAAAATTCACCTTGTTTGTTTCTATTTTTCAAAAAATACTTTTCAGAAAATTTTATTTTTTTATTTTTCGTATTTTTTTGTTTTTATTGAATTTTTTTAATATTTTAAACAATTTTTTTACTTTTTAGACACCTAACATAAATACACCTAAAAAGCAAAAAAATTGTAAAAAAAATCTTTTAAAAATTCACTAAATACCAAAAATACAAAAAAAAAAAATACAAAAATTCAATATATTTTTTTATATTTTTATGTTTTTATTAATTTTTAAAAATATTTTTTCATAAATTTTTTACTTTTTAGATACATCTAAATAAGGTGCATCTAAAAAAATAAAAAAAAAATGTTTAAAATTTAAAAAATATTCACTAAAAACATTAAAAAAAAACACGAAAATCAAAAAAGTCAATTTTCAAAAAACTTAATCCCAAAAATTCAAACAAAACATACTAATTATTACCACCGAAGGCCACAATTTTGAAAGGATTACCACCTAGTCTCACTTTGATACCTAACATAAGGTCTCTAAAAATATTGAGCCCCTACCAACCGAGCATACCAAAAACCTAAATGTCAAGCCCAAAATCCAAAAATTAAATAAGCCTAAAATACTGGCCCGGCCTGATCATGTGGGGACAAAATATCAATTCCAACACTTTTCTAGAGAATAAATAAATAAATAAATAAGACTGATTAGGCAGCCGATGCCCACTGCTATTTTTTCAGTTGAAAAGTCTATTTTTTTTAAAAAAAATTAACTACATCAGAAGTCGTAGCCTAACATGAGGTTTGTTGCAACCATGCTGCAGACCCTCAGTAACCATGCTGCAGACCCTCAGTGAGGTGGCGAGTCATCATTGGTTAAAACTCAAAAAAAAAAATAATAATAAAATAATTTTTTTTTTTTGTCCAATCACGGCACGCCACCTCACTGAGGGTCGACCCCCAGTGGGGGTCCGAAGCATTTTTCGGTTTGTTGAACTCAAACCCTTGTTTCCCAATATTATTTTAAGAGTAATAACATACAAGAATAAAAAATAAAAAAAATTATAAACTTTCATTATTTATTCACGTGACACCTATCATTTCAATTAAGAAATATTGATAAATTTTATTAATGTGTAATATTTTCCTTAATTTGATATGGTTTGGTTCGTTATACCTTTTTTCTATTTTCTTCTTGTCTACTTGGGCTCTATTATTTGTTCCTAGAAATGGTAGGGGAGAGAAGAAAAAAAATTAAAGGATAAATGACATCTCAAAACAAACTTTTATAGCCCAATTTTAAAAAATTCTATTAAAAAAAAATGATTATAATAAAATAATATTTTTTAAAAAAAGGTGAGAGAAATGACAACTCAAAATTAAAGGCTCTATGAAAAATAAAAATAAAAATTTTATTACTTACAATTAACCCATGTTAATTTTCATATATTCAATAAAAAATATTTTTCAAATTTTTTAAAAATTTTTATAAGTTTTGAATAAAATTTTGAGTTATGAGTTTGGTTGAGTTTTAAATTTTTGTATCAAATATCATATATCACATCAAAAATTTCCCATTCAATTCAAAACTCATTCACCAAACAAATTTTTCACGCTTAAACCATAATTCCAAAACTCACAAACTCAAAATACAACTCTATTCTCAAATCATATTTAGAAAACTCTACCAAACGCAATCAAAATCTCTCTATTTTTCGTTCAATCGCTTTTTACTAGTTTTCCATGATAACTGGAGAAAAATTAACATTTCTTTTTCTTTTCCTCACCAAATCCCCAGACCAAAGGATATCATTAACATTTTCCTTTTCTTTCTCTTCTCTATTTCTACTGCATCTTATGTATTACTTCTGATGATGATATGAAGTTCTTTTTCTTGCCACAAAAAAAATATATATACATACATATTGGATTACAAAATTAAACCAAAAACATGTACATGCCATCCCTGGCAATTCACGAAAGGTCAAGACATGTAAAACTATTTTGAAAATAAAATAAAAATAAAAATAAAAGAAAAAAGAAAGAGATTATATTGTCTAAAAAGGTAGAGGTGTCGCGAATAAATTTGGAAAAAAGTACAGCTACCAAAATCCATTAAGAGCTCAAAATTTTTGGCTACAAAAACAAAAGCCAAGACGATGTCATGTATATACCTTCTGAAGAAACTTATCCAGAGCTCATAGCTTTTTGCTCCTCATTTCTCTCCATGGCTTTCCTAGCAAGTTCATAACCGGCGAAGTTCATAGCACCCAACGGAGCAATCCAGAAGAACCTGGGTACGGCTCCTTTGAACAATCCGAGGAGTCCCTCATGACGAACAATTGAGATGGCCACCATTGACATTGACAAGGGCCGTCCCCCGGGAGCAGTCATCATTCTAGTCTTCATTACATCAAAGGGTGTTGTAACGACTGCAGCTAACCCCCCAGACAAAGCCCCGACAGCAATTGTCTCCCAGGGCTCCAGCTCTCGCTCCAGAAGATGCTGAGCAAGCTAAAATAGGACATATCATAGTCAATACAAACATGCATATAATTAAATCAGACCACATAATTATAACTTCATAAAAGAATGCAGTGAAGCATGAACCATCAATTTGGTTATATTTTCATCTCATTTCTTTTTTTGTCAAAGCAAAAATCAAAACCTCCTCCACAAATACCTTTACCACAAGCTGCGAAAACATCAACCACATATTTCAGATTCATGAACTCATTTCAATCATCTCAAAGTGGGCTACAAAAGACTCGTGCCAAAAAGTTCCTAAATAAGCTTTGGTATTTCTGGACCATATGCAATTCCTGTGCAGGATTAAATAGGTATAAAGAATAAAGCCTCCAAACCACTATGTTTAATAACGTCACAGAAAATTTTGTCGGACATGCTTTTCGGACTTTCTTTCAGGCCTTCACGAGAAGCTTCTTGTTCAGCTTGCTGCACTTCTACACTCTTTGTGTACATGTACAGTTGCATATTTTAATCCACCCTTCAGAAAAATTTAACACCTAACTAGACATCCCTTGAATTTGAATGGCCCCAACCATTGTACAAAGATTATCAAAAATCAAGGACTTCGAATGGAACAAATCATTAGTGATGCATAACTCCAAACATGAAGGTAAGACAACAGAAATACAAACACCATTGCAGCCAACTATGTTACAAATTGGATTCTGTAACTTCCACGGATGAAGCGACCATATATTTTATTAATAAAAGGCAACTTCATATATTTGGGCAAAACTCAATGTTGATTTGAGTTTTCATATTATTAGAAGCTAGCAAGTAAATGTAAGGTTGAAACTATTATATCTAGTTTTATATGCAAACACTACATACCTTTTTGGATTCAGCATAAAGCCCCATGCCTGCAACATAGAATGGAACCTCCCGGAAGAGAGTGGCACCAGTCCCGCGGAAGAAACCCTTGAGGCCATCTTGATTCCAAGTACCAACAATTGCCTCCCCCACATTGTCAAAAAGGCCAGCCTGCAGCCTTTGTTTCAATACCTCACATGGTATCCGAACGGCAGTTCCCAGGAAAGTGCTACAGAATGATGCTATAGATTGAACCTATGTAAGAGGAAGGTACAAACTAATTTACTCACTGCTTCAAATCTCAATCAAATTGAAAGGCTTGAAAAGTAAACATCTGGAAAGCAATGTACATGACCTTTCATTTCATAATAATTATGAACTGGAAGTCCACATGCTAGTAGTACCTGTATGTCTGGAAGGTTTGGAGCAACATTTACTAACAAAAGCCTACTTGCTTCAAAAATTCCAGTTCGCAAGCCATGGCTGCAATGTCAGAAGAACATATTAGTCAGAAAAGTACCAATATCAACAACGAAAACCAACGAAAAGGGAAAAGGACCAAAAATAACCTAGAAAACTGTCCAAGTATTGCTGGGATGGAGCCTCTATATAACCCCCTGACTCCAATTTGTGGAAGCTTTGATATAATCTCAGGAAAGGTAAGCGTTGATGCTTGCACTCGAGTCTGACAAACAGGTAAACCATTGTCAATGGCCTCATGCACGACACTAAAGATACAATGCTAAACCAAAAACCAACAGTATCTTTTCCTCTCTTTTTATGTATTTATTTATTTTTGTTCTATTTTGATTTTTATCCTATTTTTCAATAATCTAGCCTACAAGACTACAACTAACCCAAATGGGAATCGAAATTCAGTGAAAGAGTGGGATTTATAAAAATATATTGAAAAATGAGAGGCATAAGAAATATGTGTGACTAGTAAAGTAAGTGCTTAGAAATAGTAATTTCTATTTCTAATATTGAACACTAGCATGTGAAACAAAGAAAATTCTTTAAATCAGAATTCCAACATGACTCTTGCAGGTTGACTTCAATACTCTACAAAGATCATTCTCCACTCCATGAAGATTATTTGCATCTGCCAAGCCACTTTTTTTCAATATAATAACACATATTTAATTTATATCCAATGTCCTCAGTGATATGCAAAAGTGTAAACTAGAGTGTTAATATGAGTACAATATATGATATGCTGATACGGAAAAATTTATAACAACAAAAATAAAAAAGGATACGGGTAGTGCAGGGATACGGCCATAAAAAAAAATATATATATTTATAATTTATAGTAGTGCATGATATATAACAATTAGAAATCAAATGTAATAAGTAGTTAAAGCAAGGTATAAACTAGAGTGTACTTGGAGATGCATTTCACATACCAAATATGCATGCAAATGTCCTGGTTCACGTACCCACACCAAATACATACCCAGTATTCGTAAGACGTAACTTTTGGGCCCCGTTTGTTTTGGGAGATAGAATGGAGGGGATTGAGAGTGAGGGGATTAATAGTGAGGGGATTGATAGTGAGGAATTGTTAAATTATTTTTATATAAAATAATAAAAAAAATAAACATTATATTTAAAAAAAAATTCCCAATATATAAAAAATAAAAAAATTTCTAATCCCTTCACTATTTTTCTAATACCATCTCTACCTTACCAATCTCCCTTCCTCCTCCTTACTAATACCAAGGGATTACTAGTCCCCTCCCTATCTCTCAAAACAAACACTCCATTCTCAATCCCCTCCTCACTATCAAACCCAATCCCTTCCCCATAACCCCAAACAAACGGAATGCTTCATAGTAAATAACTAATCATTGCCCCTTTCATATTAGTTATAAATGAACTTGCTAAGAAAATTCAAGAGCATATCTCTTGGTGTTATTGTTTATACCTTATAGTTTTGTTGACAACAGAGAATAAGTAAACTCTAAGCTAGCATTATACAGAGATACTTTAAGTGTCTAAAGGTTTATAAGTATGGCTAAGATATAAGGAGTGTATTGTATACAACAACAAATAGGGATGGAGATGGTGAAAATTTTTGATGGGCAAAGAGATACTAATAGTAACAATTTACTCACAGAATTAGAGCAAGGTGGATGAAACAGATAAATGCATTAGGAGCGTTGTGTGTTCGTAGGATTCTTATTAAGTTGTAGGAGGCCAGTAGGGAAAAAAATTGTACAACTACTATAAAACCTGTTATGAGCCTATGAGATGATACAGAATGTTTGACAGTTACAAATAAAATATATCCAAAAAATGAGTGACTCAAATGAGAATGTGGAGATGAATGATTAGTGTTACAAGAAAATATAAAATTGGAAATGACTTCATAACGAATAAGTTAAAAGTGGCACCAATATAAGACAAAATGATGGAAAGCAAAGCAGCTTGAGATGGTATGGCCATGTGCACCTATGAACAGGAGCTACTGATTCAGGTGGATGGTGGTAAAAGAAATAGATGAAATAGAGGAAGGACAAAGAGAACATCGTTTGAGGCAATAAGGAAGGACATGAATGCCTTAAACTTGACTGTGCTTTTGATTTCAAATAGAACCAGTTGGAGGGGGGAAAATCTATATAGCCAACACCAAGTAAGTGAGACAAAAGCTTATTGAGTTGTTGTATACAATGAAGCACGGACACGGACATGGATACGGACACGGGACACAGCAATTTCTAAAAAATGGGGACACGGACACGGCATGGGACATGGGAATTTTTTTAATTTTTTTTATAAATATTTTTATTTTAATACATATTAATTATTTTATTTATTTATTATATTTTTTAAATAATGTGTTCCAATTAATTGTTTTGTTTTATTTTCATACATGTGTTTATTTTTTTCATTTATTAATATGTATAAGTATATATTATCTTATACTATGTTATATAATAACTATTATATAATAGTTATAATATATAATAATAATAGTTATAATATATAATAATAACTAATATATATGAGTATTATTATATAATAATAATAGTTATCAGAAGCGAGAGAGAGGGAGACGATCGTGATCAGAAGCGAGAGTGGGGGAGACGATCGCAATCGCAATCGCGATAGAGAGAGAAGGCGAGAGAGAGAGAGAGCTCTGAGAAGGCAAAGGCAAGAGAGAGCTCGTCGAAGTCGAAGGGGGCTCTGGATCGTCGAAGTCGAATAGGGCTCTAGATCGTCGAAGTTGAAGTCGAAGGGCTCTGGATCGTTGCCAACCAAGTTTGTACTCATTTTCCCTTTCATTTACTCTTCTCGCCGTGTCCATGGCGTGTCCAGAGTTGGACACACGCGGCCCCTGCAAAAAAATAAATTAAATTAAGGGGACACGCCAAATGCCGTATCCCGTACGTGTTCCCGGCGTGTCCCCGTATCCGACACCACCACGGCTTCCATTTTGGCGTGTCCATGCTTCATAGGTTGTATATCAAACTTGAGGGTTATGGGGAAAGAAAAAAAGAAAAAAAAAAGAAAGTAAACCCTATACTGGAAATTCCAATATATGTCGTCTGAGTTCTGATATGCTGAAAACTATCAAGACACTTGGTTGAAACTCCCTCAGTGTACTCCATCCTGCCTCCATATCATCCAGATTTTGAAAATAATCAATAAAGATTTTATGCACATATTAAAAATAAATAACAGAAGGCCTTTTGACAAGACAAATTTGCATTTAGATGTCTCATGGAGATACAGTATGAACCAGGCCAAAAACTGTTGGCAAGGCTAGTTCATAAATGAGACCTTTCCACAATAAAAGTTTCCATAATTCTGAGGGAAGGTCTACCAGGGCATCAATATCATCAACTATGGCTTGCATCTATGGAGATGTGTTAGTAATTGTTTAAGTTGAATACACGATTGCATGTATATTAACATGACAAATCTTAATTGTAATATCAATCAGAGGCTAAAATTTGATGTTTCCATCATAGATTTCCCTGGTAAGTGTTACCTTTATTGTATCCACAGGGTGCAATAAAGAACAGGACAGCGCACAAGACAGGCCCCCTACCAATGCAGATTTCAGAACACTGCTAGCAGGTAATTCCACAGGTGGTGCAACAGCAACAACTGTAGCAGCTTCAAACCAGATACTCCTGCATGTTTATAAAATTAAGTTACTACCAGCTGTAGGTGACTTAGCGACATGTACAAAGACCCTATAAGTCGTGTATATTGCAAAATTAGGGTTTGTTATCTACAGAGCATGGAGAAACAATTTGTGTAACACATACAGATACACACACAACCCATAAAACGATGAAGGTGCTTTATTGCTTCCTGTTTTGACTTCGACAGTTAACACCAAGTTATTATTGAGATATTATAAACCCCTCTCTCTCACTGGATACTTTCTAAAACATGTCACATCAGATTTCTTCCCCAGCTTTTCCATTCTTCTAAAAAATTTATGCAAATGTGCCCTAATCAAATCAAACTATATAAAACAGCTTCCATACTTCCACTCAAATCAACACCAGATTACTTTCATGCTTCTGCTATAAATTCTAAAATCACCCCACTTGAAATTACAAAAATAGCTCACCGAGGATCTTCTTGAAGTCGATCAGATGGAAGAAGAAGCATAAAATTCCGGAAATGTCCATAAGAAATAGACTCTTCCGTGTCTGCATTCAGAAACCTCATCATGGCCATAGCATTGTCCTCATTTGCTGGAAGTCCCGCATTTTTGAGTGATGCCAAGATTTCACTCTTTTTTAGTGTCCCAGACTTGCTCAAACAGAGAGTAGTATAAGCTCGAAGAATGGTTGGTTCCTTTTGTTCCATCAAGGACAAGAACTGTTTCCAACCAAATGATTTGGAAAATATATTACTTCTAGTACGGCTCATGAATTCACGTGCATATCTCCGAGGCAGTTTTCGCTTTCTCGTAGCAACTTCAAGATCTTCCAAAGTAACTTGGCCATCACCATCTCTATCCAGCTCCTCAAAGAACCTCCTTCCTGTAAGGATGCAAGATTTATATAGAGAACAAATCTTAAGCAAACGTCAAAAAACCAATCCAATCACTGTTCTTTTCCCCTTTAAGAGGTGAAGTTCAACAAGGTTACAACAGATACTGTGAAAGGGCAGTGGATAACATACAACACAAATGTAGTCGGACTGATACCATTATGAGGAAAACCATTTCCAGGCTTTCTTTTCCTTTTTGGGGTTGGGCGGAGGGGGGAGTGGAGGGGGAACTATCAGAAGAAATATTGCGGCGAAAATATATGTATGTCATATGTGAAGATGTAACTAAGATCTGGACTAGACTAGCAAGGATCCCACTTCAAGCTGGAATGCAGAGAAAAGATTCATGAATAATGAATTGCATATGACCTTATAGCTAATTGTTTGGGAATATAGAGAAACAACCATGAAATTACCTGAGGCAGAAATGTAGCATTTCGCAACTAAATGCAAACTGAGAAAAATAACATGGAACTAAAAATTTTGAAAAGGTTCCAGGTCATATATCCTTTTAACAATTAAAGATTTTGAAACTAATTTATCATTTTTTACCAGACAAGGAAAGTCTTCAGCACAATACTAACAATGAATCAGAAGGAAAATTTACACCCAATGCCATCAACATCTAGTCCAATCTCTTTTTTATAATATCTGATAATACATGTATTTTAAGAAAGAAGCAAATTAGGAATCTCACATGCGGCTTGCTTGAGACCAACTGCAGTCAAATTTTTGCTAAAATCAAGTCTGCTACCAGTTCAATTTTATTTGTGTTCTTTGTTTTTGGAGACAATAGTATTCTTTTAATTTCAAATTTTGATAGAAATGGAGTGCAGTGGTGATCGATGAATATCATTTTCGTCTAGTTATCAACTGGTTCCACAATATATATGGTCTTAAAATTACCAGAATTGTACTGGTAGTCAAAGTTTCTAGTTTTTAAATCCCAGATCCTAGTAGAATTCATAGATATCCAGTAGCCTATAAATATATATCTAACCTTTCAATCCACACAGTTGAGAAATCAAAATCTGAGAGAAGATTTGAAGCTTTAAACAATTCCACGATGCAATCCTAACCTGAGATTCTTACAAGATTCTCCACTTACTCTCTTTCTCTAGGATCAGAATTTATATTTCAAGAACAACCAGCATTAATCTCCTTAATTTTTTAACCCAAACCCCTAATTCTATTACCCTTTTCCCTTCTTGTACACTTTAGCTCTTAATTTAACTCTAAAACCCTCATATAGTTGCTGTCCAGAATTTCCAGCAAATGACCTCTTTAATACCAAGCAAATCTAGACAGCCAACATCATTCGTGCTATTTGAAACCCTAAGAACTTTATAGATTTCTAAAATTTCTTTGCCACCATAAACTCAATCATAGGCTGATTCTAAGTTTTCTACAGCTGCCCTGCATAAACTTCTCATCTTTAATAAGTTTGATAAGATTCCATTCTTGTCTTTTTTTTCCAAATTTTTTAATAGTAATGATCTGTCAACTAACATACTGCACCATAAATTTGCTTTCTAAAAATTTTATTCTGTTTTATGAGTTTCTAATAATTATATTTATAATGACAGTTTTTTGTTTTTTTAATGACAAACTTTAAAGTAAAGGCGTTCAAATACCCGAACAACCCATTCAAACCGACTGATCCGAACTGAATATGCAGTGAACGGTCAGCTTCACAAGTATCAGCGATCGGCAGCAGTTGTAATCATTAGATATTTTTGGATTAGCAGACGGATCACAGTTCTGAATACCTCCCAACCAATTAACCCAACCCAACCGACAAATATTAAGAAATATATTGCTTTTACATGTGCTGTTTATGCTGGCCATTTTACACCTTATCTTGATGCCTTATCTCTATCTCTCTTTTCTTTGTCTCTCACCGACTCACGAACTCTCCAGCAACATTCTCACTCTCTCTCGCTTTTCTCATTCTCTCTCTCTCTCACCAACTCAAAAAGGCGACACAAAACCTGGTCTCTTCATGAACTTGCCCCCTTGACTTCCCCCATGAAATCCCTACCCCTCTCTAATCTCCCTCAGCCCCGAAACCTCTCTCTACGATATCTCTCATCCCCAAAACCCCTTCCCCCCCTCATGGTGGCTATGGCGATGTGCAACGGTGGCAGTGGCTATTTGTGTCGATGGGTGTCCTCTCCCTTCATCAGTATTGGTGGTGGGTCTGTTTTCTATTTCCCTCTCTTCTATTCTCTGCTCTATATTCTCTCAGATTTGTGATTTCATTGTGTAATCTATTGATATGGCAAGATTTGTCTTAGATTTTAGATTTTTTTAAGTTTGTTTTTTTATCTGTGTATACTGACCGAACAGACTGCCAAACCGACAGTTTGGTTAGGTCAATTTCGAATAGTAAGACAGTCAAGTATCGGATGAATGATTCCCTAATCTGATTGATGTCAGTTCGGTTGATGGGCCAAGGGTGAACCCAACCCAAAAGAAAGATAGGTCAATTTCGAATAGTAAGACAGTCAAGTATCGGATGAATGATTCCCTAATCTGATTGATGGGCCAAGGGTGAACCCAACCCAAAAGAAAGATAGGTCAATTTCGAATAGTAAGACAGTCAAGTATCAGATGAATGATTCCCTAATCTGATGTATGTCAGTTCGGTTGATGGGCCAAGGGTGAACCCAACCCAAAAGAAAGATAGGTCAATTTCGAATAGTAAGACAGTCAAGTATCAGATGAATGATTCCCTTTGTTTTTTTATCTGTGTATACTGACCGAACAGACTGCCAAACCGACAGTTTGGTTAGGTCAATTTCGAATAGTAAGACAGTCAAGTATCGGATGAATGATTCCCTAATCTGATGTATGTCAGTTCGGTTGATGGGCCAAGGGTGAACCCAACCCAAAAGAAAGATGGGTGGGATGGGCGGATGAATGATTCCCTAATCTGATGTATGTCAGTTCGGTTGATGGGCCAAGGGTGAACCCAACCCAAAAGAAAGATGGGTGGGATGGGCGGATGATCAGTTTTCTTAACTCGGAGAAAAATGAAATTTTTAGATAAGGATGCTCTGATAGAATGCAATTGGAAACTCTGGTATGGCAATTATAGTATAATAGCACATCATATATTTTTTTAAATATTTACTTTAAGAAGATATTAGCATAAATGTACATAGATGCCAATCAACTATATCACATTGCAATGCAAAAATATTTTTCCATATTTTCTCTAGCAGCTTAAAATGCAAAATTTTATCCTCGCATTCAATTGTAATATGGCCTGAGTAATAAGTAATCATCCGTAGTCACTATTACTGTAGAGTGATGCATGATAAATACATAAAAATTACCCATTAAATATTAACAGTGGATAGAGAAAATACATAAAAGGGATTTTCCAAACTAATGTGTTCTGCTGCATCAATTAAATTTGAGGAATGTGAAAATGGTTACCAGGCTACTTTAGAGACATACCTTCAGCTTCGGTGTATTTGAAAAAATCCTGGACTGAGAATAGCTTCTTCTTGTCAGGATAGTCTTTGGAAGATCGACCTAAATGGGGTATAAGCTCAATTAGTTCCGCCAACGAAACAGTTGATAGAGTGGATCTCAATCGCTCGACATTTGACAAGGGAATACTCAGTAATCCATTGGCCAGCTTCTTTGGAGCACTAACCCCAGTTTCTTCCTTGTTGTCAGCTTCTTCCTTGTTCCCAGATTCTTCCATGTTCTCATCACCCTCTTCTTTAACAGAAGTAACTCCCACAACACTCGATGGGATACCTCCCACTCTCGCAAACCTCAAATTTCCCAAAAAAACGTTGACATCTGCTTTTTTACCTTCCAAAGTACTTGCGACTGCCCTCAAATAATTGAACGGATTAGGTGGACAAGAAGTGGTGGGCGAATCACAACTCTTGCATTCACTTTCTTGGACACCTAAATCCAACTTCTGAAGATTTTGAGTAAATTGATTGCAAACAAAACCTATGAAGCATTCAATTGACAAATTATTTCCTTCTTTAGGTTTTAAACTCTCATTCAGAAATGTAGTAACAAAATGACCCTTTGAGTCCTTTTGCTTTACTGCTTCACATAAAACCCTCGGTTTGGATGGGTGTGCACACAAATATGGACAAACTTTATCATCATCACATGTTTTGCGAAATGGATTTTTGCCAGCTTTAAAAGGGCTTGGAAAAGCCGGAACAAAACCATTAAGCAACAATGACCACGTAACTGCAAACTTTAAGCAATTTCTGCAAGTCCCATTGTCATCACCAACCTCCTCTTTCAACCCTTTCTTCAACATGTCCTTACATCCGTTACTCCCACAATTTATCAACAAAAACCCCAATAATGTCTTAAAAGGAACTTTTATCGACAAACCCTTCTTTCTCTCATCATCACTAACCAAACACTGTCCACTCCTTTTCTTCACAGAACAAACCAAAACCCTATTCCCATTCTCAGTTCCTCCTCCAGTCAACTGTGTTCCAAACCCTTCAATGATATTATTAGCCCGATTCTTCGAACCGGGCCAACAATGCTCCAAGTCCTTCGCCGCCTTCCTTATACCGAATTCAATCGGCGAAAGCACATCCTTAATAACTTGTAGCGAATTCAAGAAAGATTCCACATGGTCATTCTTAGACACCATCACTACTAACAAACTATGTATATCTATCACCCCCTCCACAGATTCTCAAAAACATACATACCATTAAAAAAATCAACACAGATTTTTAAAAACAGAGCTCATGAATCAACTAATTGCAGTTACTTGAGATCTGCTGATGAAAAAAATTAAAAAAAAACAAAAAGGGCAATCAATGAATGAGGAGTTGATGAATATTCACAGTGATTGTACAATATTACATTATATGTAGCGTAAATTGGAGATAAAAAGGTACCTGATAAACATGAAGGAAGATCTAGGGTTGTAAATTGGGAGGAGTATTGAATAATTTTTTAGAGATATCTGAGGCTACCGATGGATATGGTGAGTGAATCAGAAGAAGAAGAAGAGGAGGAGGTTGTGTTTGTTTTTTTCTTTATTCAGTTACGAAAAAATACAGAAATGTTTGTTTTTGTTTTTGTTTTTATTTTTATTTTTAAATTTTTTTTATATCCTACAAACAATTACAGAAATGATTCATCTCACTAATTTGAAAGCACTAGTTGATCACTAATAAGGTAAAAAATCAAAAAAAAAAAAAATACAAGAGCCCATCATGTAAGACTACACCACTTTAGAGCTATAAATGCTTCTCTTTTTAATGGTCTTACTCATTTTTCTAATAATTATTATTGTAAAACCAACCATTAACTTAACAATTAATGAATATCATTTTGTTCTCTTTATTTATGAATAGTATATATTGACCATCAATTATGAGCACTATATTTGATTTAGAGTTTTAATCTGTATTTTTTATTTGGACTTTGATTGAGACCCCACTATTTTCCCACCTCCGTCATCCCCCCACACACACGTAGAAATTGGTGATTTAATAATAAAAATAAATAAAAAAAATTGACCAATCAGCACCCACTGGGTGGGTGCTGGGTCTTCCCAGTGGGGCCTTGTCTTTTTTCTTTTTATTTTGAGCTAATTTTTTTAATATTTTTAATATTTTTTTTACTTTTTAAATTCACATAATTTAGATATAATTAAAAAATATAAAATTTATAGAAAAGGTTTTTAAAATTATGTTGAAAACAACAATATATAAAATTTTTATTTTAATTTTTTGTATTCAATGAATTTTTGAAATATTTGCACAATTTTTTACTTTTTAATATATCTAAGTAAAGTGTATCTTAAAAAAAATAAAAATAAAAATATTTAAAATTTAAAAAATATTTACAAAAAATGAAAAATTAAATTTCTAAAAAATTAAAAATCAAACACGGTGATTGATGATTTTGGATATGTGTAGACTGTAGACCGTGCATAAGGGCATTATAGTAATCAGAAACTGAAACTATCCAGTCACAATACCGAACAGTATCTCATCAGCTGGACTACTTATCCCAACCCTTCCATTGAAGCTCTCTTCATTTCACAACACAAAACACAACTCTCTCTCTCTCTCTCTCTCTCTCTCTCCCCCCTCTCTGTTCCTCCTATCTATAATCAGTCAACCCCTCTCTCTCTCTCTCTCTTCTTGTGAGCTTGTTTTGTTGTTGGTCTGGTGAGGTGTGATGATGGATGTGAGCTGCAGCCGGTGTTCCCACACTTCCCACATCACGGAGATCATCATCACTAGCTTTTTCCGACACAAGCTATAAATACCCAAAAAAACCAAAGCAATTTATGCTCCGAATTCGGAGGCTTTTTTAATTGATTCCGCGTGTTAATTCAAATTACATTTTGAAAATCTGTTTGGTAGCAAATATCTCCCTTTCAACGTTTCTGCCTTCTTCATCATCTCCCAACTTTCACGTGAACCTCATCTACACCTGTCCTTCAGATTCATCACGGGTGGCTTCTCTGTGTTCAGATTCATCACGGATGAGTTTCAGAGAGTTTCAGAAGTCAGACTCATTTTATAAATAATGAATCTATCCAACCCGCTCCGTACTCGTATCATATTTCACAAATCAACTGAGTTACGATTTGTGCGTTGCGGACGATTCTTATTACGGGCAACCAAACAACGACGACTGCGAGGTGAAATTACTCACAAAATTATTTACATATTTTGTTATAGGGAAATTATTTGAGAAATTCATTCTAATTTTTTTTTTCCAGGTCAAATTTATCAAATTTATTGTCGAACTCGACGAGCAAACAGTGGCACGTTCAATCAGTATACACATTCCATCACCGGCGATAATTATTCAACTCCCACTAATCTGATAAATAAATCCTTCATCCTTCATCTGTTTTCTGAAAATGATTTCAAACGAGTCGATCAACTGTTTCAACTTTTTGTTCTTCAAGAATAGTGTAAATCATTCATCTGTTATGTATAAATGAATTCGGAGAAGTTGAAATCAGTTCATAAATGGTTTATCAGAATTTGGTATATCGTATTTTCCATTTCAGATCGGTTGTTATTTGAAATTATGAATGGTTTAAACCTCTCTTCTATCGAAGGCATAGTGGTAGTGCCTGGGACACCCGGCCGGTCGTCCCCCGGGTCATCCGGCCGGTCGACCACCCGGTCTTCCCACCTCTCTTCCGGTTTTGTCTTCCACTTTCCATTCCTGAATGGTTTGAACCACCGGTCCTCCCTGAACTGTTTGAACCCACCGGCTTTTTTACTATTTTTTTTCCTTAATTTCAATTAACAACCAGTACTAATTTGTTTTGAATTCAAATCAATATAACACAATGTTAAACACATTGTTAAACATTGAATGTGAACTGAATTTTTTTTGTAAAACATTGTTAACTGAATTGTTAACATTGTGTTTTTTTTAATTCATATTTTTTTTTTTACATTGTTAACAACCAATACTAATTTTTTTTTTTATCTGATTGTTAATTAAAAAAAAATTACTAATTTCTTTCCTACTATTTAAACACAATGTTAACTGAATTTTGAGGCTTTAAGAGCAAAGACACCCCAATGTTAACTGAATTTTGAGGCTTTGAGAACAAAGACACCCCTAGCGCTGGCACACACGGTTAAAATCAGGGATAGCTACTGTTACATTACCATTTAGACATATATATGTCTATATTTATTTATTTATATGGTAAATAAGACTTATAGAAAATATAGTAAAGTTTTAAATTTTTATAGCATTTCATTTTTTATTAATAATTTATCATTCATATGAATATGAATTAAAAAAAATAATAATGTTATCTTTTTTACATTAAAATATTTTTTATTTTGATCTTATTAAAATATAAGTCAATATACTTATGTTAAAATTAATTATATTTTTTCATAATTTTTCAACAGATTAGAATATTTATGTATGTATTTTAATTTTTTATTATTTGAGTCATATTTTAATTTATAGAAATAAATAAATAAAATGTTCATACCATACTTTTTTTTTGATCGAGTTCATACCATACTTTACTCTCCTTTTCTTTCTATTGGCTGAAATTACATTTTGTAGAATTAAAAAAAAAAAAGGTTTAGCGAAATTTTTTTTATGCAAAACTTTTTTTGATAAAACAAAAAAATGTTTTTTCCATGACTACTTGCAACGGGTCGTTTGGGGCACAGGAAAAAAAGTTGGTTTTGGGTTTATAAAAGTCGATTTTTTTTTTTATTTGTAGTTATATTTCTGCTATCTGAATGTTTTTTTTTTGGTGATTATATTTCTGCTATTTAAATTCAATTAATCTGCTACGTACTTTTTTCCTTGAAATAAAATAATCTGTTCTTTTTCCTTTATCTGTGTTCTCCTTCAAATCATTTTGCACTGTTATTGTTGTATATCCGTCGTAGTGTTCTTTAAAATACTCTGTTCTGCTTGTATATTCATTCCAAACTAGTTTAAATATAATTTGTATATTTATAGATGAATGGAAATAATTCTGATGACAATGAGAATACCAAAATGTGGACGTCCAGAATTGAAACGAAATTAATAAATATGTTGAGAGATGAGGTTAGAAACAATCAAACAACGGGCCGTACTACTTCGTGGACAATTAGGCATTGGAATCATTATGCAAATCAGTTGCACAACATATATGGATTTCGGTATACAGGTGTTAAGGTGCGCCAAAAATATCAGCGCTTGAAAGCTGATTACCAGACATTCAAGCGACTCCAGGCACAGACTGGTCTGGGATGGGATCCTATTATAGGCACTATTGTTGCACCTGATGAATTTTGGGATAAGGTTTTCCATTAATCTGTACTATTTTCTAATTTTATTTTAAACATTTCATGATATATACAATGCTTAATTCTTGTTTTGTACTTGTTGTAAGCCAGCAGAAATGTGAAGAAGTTTAAGACAAAAGGGTTTGAATATTTTCAGGAAATGGCAGAAATTGTTGAAAATTGTTGTGCTACAGGGGCCCTGTCTCGTGCATCCACACAAGGACCCCTTGACTCAGAAGAAGAAGACAACATGTTAAATAAATTTTGGAACGCTGATGCTGGTGGGAGTAACGCTGGTGGGAGTAATGCTGCTAAGGCCATTCCTGTTGACTTATTCGGGGATGAGTATATAGATCCAGCAAAGGGCAAAAGTCACAAGAGGGGCCCTGCAACCAGCCAGACTGACAGTGGCCGTTCCAAAAAGTCACGGTCAAGTGGGTTTGATGATGTGTGTGCTGCTTTCACATCCTATGTACAAGCCAAAACAGGACATTCACGTGCACGAGAAAATAAGACTGAGGCTGTAAGTGCAGGTGGTGATGATTATTCCCTTGATGCATGTCAAGATGCATTGCTTGAGCTTGGGGACATACCACCGTTGCAGTACGTTAGGGCACTGACACTATTCAAGGACAAGGAATGGCGAAGGTTTTTTATGCGCACTCCTACCCATTTGTTTTTTGTTTGTTTTTTTTTTTTTTTTTTTTTAAACTTTTAAGTGTTTTCTGTTATATTAAAACTATGGAAGTTATTATAATATGACCATGTGTTAAATAAATTTTCTTATCCTCTGAATTTTACTGTTGCACGAATAACGCTAACTGTTACTGCATGAATAACATATTTTATAATTATGCTTTTACTGTGATGTAGACAAAGGCATATGTCATCCGACAGAGAAAACAATACAATGGAGCTCTCATCAAAGAAGCATGAGGTTATTGATGATTTTATGGATTTCTTGATGATTGCTGTAATGCATGACCATATGAACGCGTCAAGTAGTCGCCGACCGCAGAGAACGTGTCCATTCAGAGGTGATGATTACATCTTCGGCCTATTAAATGGCCATCCAGAAACAATGATGAACGTTATGCGAATGGATGCACAAACATTCATTTTATTGAAAGACACTTTACTGCATAATGGCTTTATCGATACTGAACATATGCATATAAGTGTGGAGGAATCGCTTGGAATTTTTTTATACACTTTTGCACAAAATGATTGCCATCGAATAATGGCAGATAGATTTCAACACTCAACGGAAACAATTTGTCGGCACATAAAAATTGTTATACGGGCATTGTACAAGCTTTCATCATCGGTTATCAAACCACATAACCTAGAGGACATCCCGGGAAAAATTTTAAATGACAGGCGGTTTTTTCCCTGGTTCAAGGTACGAACAGTGTGGCTATCCTGTAAATTTGTTCATATCCATAAGGGTTAATAAATATTATTATTTTTTAATTATGAAAGTAAAATCAATCAGTTTGTTTCGCTTTTAATATCAAAGTCTGATATCTGTCAATTAGGATTATGTCGGTGCTATCGATGGCACATTGGTGGATGCATGGGTCCCTGCTTGAAGACAACATACATTCCGCGGCCGGAAAGCAATGGTATCGCAAAATGTACTCGCAACTTGCAACTTCGATATGTTGTTCACATTTATTAATTCTGGATGGGAAGGTAGGGCTCACGACAACGCTATTCTGGTTGACTCTATTACACGAGCTGATCTACAGTTCTCACACCCACCCAATGGTGACTGTCCCTGAACAACATACTGTACACTTTTTTCCTTGTTTGTTTTTATACATATCAATTGACAGAACTGTGTATTCATTATTTACATGTAGGCAAGTACTATTTAGTTGATGCTGGTTTCACGAACATGCCTGGATTTCTTGCTCAATTTCGGTCTCAACGATATCACTTGCAAAAGTTTCGTGGCCATCGTTATGTAGGACCTAAGGAATTGTTTAACCATCGACATCCGTCATTACGCAACGTCATAGAAAGAACATTTGGTGTTTTGAAGAAGCGCTTCCCAATATTGCGGTCCATGCCAAATTACAAGTCTACACGATAAGGGCCTCTCGTGATTGCATGTTGTGTAGTGCACAATTGGATCCGTTTACATGCAGTTATGGATCCATTCTTTATGGAAGCTGATAATAAAATGGCCGCAGAAGCAGAAGCAAAAGCAGACGGGCTTCTTGGAGACCAACCTGACTACGTTGATATGTCACAACATGGGTTAACGTCCCAATCGAACGTTAGAGATGCAATTGCTACTGCTATGTGGCAAAATCTTGTTCACCATGGGCACTGAAGATAATGGTTTTCTTAGTACATGTGTACTTAAATATGTTGTTCATGCAATGTGTAATATGCAAATTTATGTATAGTCTACCAAAGACAATTAAATATGTTGTTATTAATATGCAATGTGTTTCTTAATAACTTTCAGAAATAAATATGTTGTCATTAAATTAAATGTGGTGGTGGGTGGTGGGTGGTGGTGGCAGATGGATGGTGGGTGGTGATGGGTGGTGGTGGTGATAAGTTCACCATTTAAAAGTGTAACAAATAAAAAATAATAATAATAATAATAAGAATAAGAATAATAATAACAACAACAACGACAACAACAACAATAATAATAATAATAAAATAAAATAAATTAAAATAAAATAAAAAAGTAAATTATATTTTATTGTTTTATATCACCCGATTTTATAGCAAAATATTATTTTACATGAAAAATGTGTAAAAATTCGCTGAGTACATCTTAAAGTAAGGGGTGTATAATTTGTGTAAACTCTGGGGTATTCTTTTTAATTTTCTGTACAGAAGTTTATATTAACTTCTTTTTTTTTTCCTTTTCATTAAAAAAAAAGAATGTTTATTATTAAATATTATTAAATTGTAACTTGTTTTATTTAATTTCAAAACATCAATTTAATTTTATATTATAATTGATGCAAAAAAAATTATTTAATAATTGTGTAATTTTTATTCATTTTATTCAAATGAAGGATTTCGTAGACATTTATGAATTACTATTTATTAATTTTTGTACAAATAATTTTTTCAATGCATAATCTTTTTGCAGAGATTGTTATAACATTATAACTATGTAATTAAATGATTCCAAAAAAAACCCGTCGTTGTTATTCATTACGTGAATAGAAAAGTTTATAACAAAATAACAAAAGTAAAACAATCACAACAACTGTGTGGATGGAATGGAGTAGACAAAAGTGGCGAGGACTATATTTTCCACTAGTTACACTACCAATGCCAAGAACAGCAAAGCGATATGATAGGCTCAGTACGAGGACAGCTTGTTCCCTCTCTCAATTATTGCGAAAAATGTTAATATCGCAAGATAAATAAATTTTAAGAAGAATTACAATTTTATGGTATCTTCATAGAATATTTATAACGTGATAAGAAAGTTTAAAACTTTGATTATTAAAATATGTGGAATTTACTATTAATCTGATTTTTTTTATTAAAAAAATACAATAAAGGTAGTGGGTGGTGGTGGCAGGTGGGTGGTGGGTGGTGATAGGTGGTGGGTGGTGGTGGCAGATGGGTGGTGGATGGTGGGTGATGGTGGCAGATGGGTGGTGGGTGGTGATGGGTGGTGCTGGCAGGTGGGTGGTTGGTGGTGGTAGGTGGTGGTGGTGATAAGTTCACCATTTAAAAGTGTAACAAATAACGACTAATAATAAGAATAATAATAATAATAAATAAAATAACATAAAATAATTATTATATTTTACTTTTTTATATCCCCCGATATAAAAAAAGAATGTTTATTATTAAATATATATTTTTTTTGCTTATATGAATTTTTTTTCCCCTTTTCATTAAAAAAAAGGATGTTTATTATTAAATATTTGTTTTTTTAGTGCACATGTTTATTATTAAATTGTAAGTTGTTGTATTTAATTTCAGAACATTAATTTCATTTTTTCTATTAATTGATGCACACAAATTATTTAATAATTGTGTAATTTTTATTTTTTTTATTGAAATGAAGGTTTTCATAGACATGTATGACGTATTATTTATTAACATTATAACTGTGTAATTAAATGATTCCAAAAAAAACCCATCGTTCTTATTCATTACGTGAATAGAAAAGTTTATAACAAAATAACAAAAGTAAAACAATCACAACAAAACTCACCAAATAAATAAGCGAAACAAAAATAAGGGAAAAAAATATAACAACCGTATGATTTTTAAACAAGTTAAGCATCCTGTCACGACCCAAACCCGGCACTATGGGTTTAGCACCGTAACCGGCCAATAATCCGAGATTACCGAAGGCCTGCTTAACAGTAGTACAGTAAAACAGAGTACAGGGCCTGGCGGAAGCCAATACAGTAATTAAACAATGCCCAATGAGCTGTGATAGTCTGTATGCAAAAGGACTTTCCAAACATATTTACATTCAGTGGAAAGGTATACACAATATATACAATCATTCAGAATAGGGACCCAATACCTATGTAACGGTACAGTAAACATTCAGTCTATACAATCCATTTGGTTATTACAAAACAGCAAGACAGTACAAAAGGGGGAGTCCTAAAACACCCCTAAGCCTTAGCATGATAGGCTTGGAACCTCGCAGTGAAGCACGGTAGCTGGCTTGACAAAACTGGAGTAACCCTGACGCTCCTAGCCGCGGTCTGGTGCCTGAACACCTACATATATATATGAGCAGTGAGCTAAAGCCCAGTGAATAACATAATGCATAAAGAGGTTAAGAATGAATGTCCTTACAGTATAAAAATGGTTCATTAAATCAGTATTTCAGTCGTTCAGTCAGTACAGTCATATGTGGTACATCCATTAGCATAACAGTACAGTAAATAGTAGGTCTTAAAAGACCGAACAGTAAATGATGGCCATCAGTCAGTAAACAGTAGTGGTTCCAACAAGGGAACCGACAGAGATCTCTGTAACAGTAACAGTAACAGTAGGTGCTAAGGATGCCACAATACAGTTCAGAACATAGGACATACATTCATTCAATTAACAGTATCAGTTCAGAAAGCAGTACAGTTCAGTTGTTCAGAAGATAATCATTTCGAACATATCTTTACACAGTTGTTACTCACAAAGTTTGGGCTACAGTATGCTAGAGCGTGCCTCCCCAGTCGCCAACCTTATACAGTTAACAGATTGAACACACTAAGCTACACAGCTGGGAAAGATAATAACTTAATCCCTAATTTGCCTTAGTGTGTTCTACATCTATATCCTCAATAAAATGTCTAAAACTAGGCCTAAGAATGCCTAGAATGGGATGAGGATACAAAGATGTACTTTTAAAAGCATATTCAGATTTTTCAGAAAACAGAGGTCACGCTCGAGCGTAAGTCACTCCGCTCGAGCGGATATGCAGACAAAAGTACCCGCTCGAGCGGTAAATCCCCCGCTCGAGCGTACTGCAAAAGTACTGGATGGGTGAAATCTCCGCTCGACGGACGCTCGACGCCCGCTCGAGCTTGAGACACAAGACTCCGCTCGAGCACCCAGTCCTCCGCTCGAGCAGATTGTAAAACAGTGCAGAGATACTGGATGCTCGGATTCCACGCTCGAGCGTCTCTTCCCCCGCTCGAGCGGGAGTGCAAAATCTGGAAATTCCAGATTGCACCTCCAAGCTCAAACTCAAACTCAAATGCATCAAAACCGATCCTCTTGGGCCCATTTTCTGGAAAACTCTTATAAACTCATAGTTAAACATGATTCAAAACTCAATTTGAGAAATCAAAGCCCAAGGGTGTTTAATCAAACCCAATTTCAAACCAATTTTTCAAGAACAATCCTCAAACATGACATGCATGATCTTTAAATAACTTTCAAGCTTCAAAACATGCTCTAATGAGCCAATTGATTCACAAACAAGATGAAAACATGGCCTACACTCAAAACATGGACATGCATGTGACAATTTGCCATGAACTCAACTCAAAATCCAACAATACTAACATGCATGCATGAATTATGCTCTATTTCAACATGCTAGAACTAATCCATGGCTCAATTCATAAACAAGAGGATAATTACTATACCTTAGGTCTTGAATTAGAAGACTAGGAGCTCACTTTAGCAATCTACCCTTCAATCCTCTCATTCCAAGCAAGATCAAGCAAAAAGTGATGAAGACACTCTCACTCCCTCTCTCAAGTCGGTGGTATGCTCAAAATGAGCTGAGCAAAAGTGTTTTAATTCAATGTATAAGGCTCAAAAGTGCATAGATAATGGCCACTAAGTGGTTTAATTATAATTAAGTCAAACTTTGCAATTAACCCAATATTTAATCTAATTTAATCATACTAAATCAAATTTCAGGTAAATACACCATAAAATCACATTAATTATGAGGGTCGAGAAACCTCAATCAATTCCCAGATTCGGCCGCCGATAGGGCCTTCAATTAACAGTTAAAAGCATAAAAAGGTGAACAGATAATCAAACAATCAAACAGATAAATGCACAAGTAAACAGATATACTCAGTCAATTCAATTCTAGATTTCAGTCAGTCAGTTCAGTATTTCAATCAGTTCGCTTATCAGTCATAATCAGTTCAGTTTAACGGTAATCAGTGGTTATGCGGTAAACAATGGTGAGGGTTATTACACATCCTTATCAGGTGGTGTTGGAGGTGGAGGGAAATGCTGATGGTACAGCTGAGTGACTCGATGGTCAATCAGATCAATACGGTTCCTTGTCAGTTTAGCACGTCTCTCGGAGTCTACGCGGAACTCACCAAATTGATGAATTAGTGAGTTCTGAGCGGTGGCAATTTCATCGAATCGAGTACCAAATTCATCAAACCGAGTACCCAGTGTATTGAGTTGATTAGCCATTTGTTGTTCCCATTGTAGGCGCTGATTGTACCGTTCTTGTTCCAAGGCTAAATAATCTGTCTAGGAACGGGGTTGTTCATTTGGTGGCATGGCATTGTTATTGGGTTCTTCCTTATCAGGTATTGGTTCATTTTGAAGATTAAGAGAGCCCATCAACGTGTCAGAACCACCAGCTCAGGTCAGTGTATATTCAGAAATTGGTAAAGTGATTTTGATCCATACTTCATCTTCAAGGTTCACATCATGGGCTTTGAAAATTATGGTTAGTAAAGCTCCAAAAGGTAGGGACCGGCCACTCAGAGTATCCAATTTTGCAACCATCATTTCTTTTAGTAATATAAAGCATAAATCTAATTTTTGTCCAATTTCAAAACAATATAACAAGTAAACTTGAAAGCATGAAACAGTATTATAATGTCCTTTTTTGGGGGTGAC